GACTCTCATAAGATCACAGCACCAATAAATGTTGGAGCTGGAACACAACACATGTTCTTAACAGGAGTCAGCAAACTATGTGAAGAGCCAGGTAATAAATATTTTAGGCTTTGTAAGCCATACAAGACTCTGTCACAACTATTCACCTCTATTCCTGTAATGCAAAAGCAACCACAGACAATCAGTATACAAATAAGCACGTCTGTGTGCCAATAAAACTTTATTTACACAGACAGACAGGGGGCCACATTTTCTCTACCATTAACAGTTAATGCTCTCCACCTTTGCATCTTCCTCCACTTAAACTCTTTTCACATAGAACATGCATTGGCGCCTACTGGAGTCATTCAGTTTATTCAATGCACCTGCAGTTCCTTTATTGCTTTCTTGGAAGGCTCTACCATTATGAAGAACACAGATCCTGCTAGAGACAGGCCACATAACATATTTCAACCATTCATTGTATTAGAGAAAAAAAAAATGCTTGCTGTGTCACAGTAACAACAACAACAAAATCTCCGAATCTCATCGACTTAGCAGAGAATTTCTCAGCTGCAGCATTATTGACATGTTGCATTAGATAATGCTTTGTCATCTGTACACTGCACATTGTGGTATGTTTACCAGTACCTCTGACCTTTACCCATCGAATGCCAATAGCATCTCCCTGTTTGTGACAACCAAAGTGTCCCTAGACACCGCCAGATGTACGCTAGGGGATAAAAATCACTCCCAGTTCAGAACGACCGGGTTGGAACAATAAAATTTTGATTTCTGATGACTCACATCCAAATTCTTGGAAGTTCATCAGCAACTCTCCTTGCCAGTCCTCTTGCCACAGAGCAGCAGGAATCAAAGACAATTCTGTCTGCAACTCTATCATCTCAAAGTTCTTTGCCTCCTGCTCTGCATATGCAAAAGTGTCCTGTGATGGTGTGGTAACCAGCCACTGGCCACAACCTAATGTACAAGAGAGGAGAGCACCAGAAATACGTGGTGATCTGTCCCTGCCAGTTATTCAATTACCCACTAAACATTTACTGAGTAGCTATTTTGATCACCAGTACACAGTACACAGTTACGAGAGATACCTCAGTGAATAAGACAAATTTTGCCCACACCCACTAAGTATTCACATTCCTGCTCTGTTGTGCTCTTTGAGATTGGGAAAAAAAAAAATGCTCAGATCTGGAGATGGAGTTATTAAAAGGACACATGGAGAAGTGAAAAGCAAGCAAAAATTATGTCGGCAATTACGCTGGGCCCCAAACTCCTGCAGTCCCATTAAGAACTGGAACAAATGCCTTGAAGGCTGAACCTGTGAGATCTTTCTTTCCTTTGTTCCTTTACCATTCATAGGCCCTAAAGGAGGGCGCACAATTGGATCAATTGCTTTCAATGATGAGTCTGTTTTCTTTTTTTTAATTTTTTTTTTGACAGGTAGAGTGGACAGTGAGAGAGAGACAGGTCCTCCTTTTGCCGTTGGTTCACCCTCCAATGGCCGCGACCGACGCATTGCGCTGATCCGAAACCAGGAGCCAGGTGCTTCTCCTGGTCTCCCATGGGGTGCAGGGCCCAGGCACTTGGGCCATCCTCCACTGCACTCCCGGGCCACAGCAGAGAGCTGGCCTGGAAGAGGGGCAACCGGGACAGAATCCAGCGCCCCGACAGGGACTAGAACCCGGTGTGCCGGTGCCGCAAGGCGGAGGATTAGCCTAGTGAGCCGCGGCGCCAGCTAATGATGAAGAGTTTTAAATAGTCAGCTTCTACTAAGTTATGCTGTGGTCACTGCTCCACAATGTCTGGGGCTGGTAACAGAAGGCGTTCGGGTATTGTTCATGCATTCGTCAACTGCGTGTTTATTTCAGCTGTGCTTCATTCCTTTTTTTTTTTTTTTTTTTTTTTTTTTTTTTGGCAGGCAGAGTTAGTGAGAAAGAAAGAGACAGAGAGAAAGGTCTTCCTTCCATTGGTTCACCCTCCAATGGCGGCCACGGCCAGTGCGCTGCACCGATCCGAAGCCAGGAGCCAGGTGCTTTTGTAGGAGTTGGAGTCTCCTGCACTCTGGCTGCTGGCCTGCCTGCTGTGCTCCCCTGAATTTTGACCTCCTGCCCCCCACCAGCTCCCCCCACCAGCTCCCCTGGGATTTATGGCCTGATGCTTTCCGCCAGTTCTTCCCCGTGCCATCTCCTTTGTGTGGCCCTCCGCCACATAACTGTATATAGCCTTTACATTTAAATGAACCAATGAACGTGTTAGGTCCCAATACCTTGCCATATAGAGAGTAAAAAGGTAACCTGCATAAGAGATGACCTTTGTAAGTGTGAGGCTATAAAACCTCTCTTACGCAAACGAGAGGGCCTTTTGTCTGTGCACTGCTAAATGGCTGTGTGCTGCCTTTAGGGGGTCCCAGCCGGCTGGTAACAAATAAACCTCTGTTTTTCACATCTGCGATGTGCCCTGTGCGTTGATTGGGAAATTCAAACACAACACTTCCTCCTGGTCTCCCATGCGGGTGCAGGGCCCAAGGACTTGGGCCATCCTCCACTGCCTTCCCGGGCTACAGCAGAGAGCTAGACAGGAAGAGGAACAACCGGGACAGAATCCAGCGCCCCGACCGGGACTAGAACCCGGGGTGCCAGTGCCACAGGCAGAGGATTAGCCTAGTGAGCCGCGGTGCTGGCCAATTACTTATTTCAAGGCTAGTTGAAAGGCAGCCCCATTCTTGGTCTTGAGCCAGTCAGCAAACAGCAGTGCTGGAATAACTGTTGGCTGTCGGCTAAGGAATGACGTTCCTGTGTATTGAATTCCAGTGGCCAAAGCAAGTCATGGGGCCGATCATGACATCAATAGGGTAGGAAGAGCACTCACCACACAGGGTAGAACAGAAACAGAAAGGGGTCTCATAGGGATGGTTGATCATCTAGGCTAGGATTCTAGCTTCAAGGAGGCAGACACCAGAGATGGTGCTAAACATCCTACAATGCATAGAACAACAAAGAACTGCACAGCCAAAACTGTCAAGCAAATATTCAAATACTTAATACAGTCTACCACAGTGAGTCTCGGTTTTCCAGGGAACAACTGGTAACGCTTGGAGGCATTTTTTGGTTGTCTTAACTATGGAGGTACCACTGGCATCCAAAGGTTAGGGACTAAGAGATGCTGTCAGTCATCCTATAGTGCACAGGACAGTCCTTTGCACCAAGGAATTATCTCACCCAAAATGCCAATAGTGCTGAGACTGTGGAACCCTAATCTACCACAAGAGGCAACTATGCTCCCCCATTCACTCACAAACTCATCATTAAATCAATGATTTATTGATGGCTAGGCACTGTGCTAGGCCCTGGGGATGCAACAAAAGCTGAAAAAAACATGGCATCTGTTCCAATGGAGTTTATAGTCTACTTGGGAAGTCAAACATTAACCAAATTATCATACTGAGTGTTTCATTATGAACTAAAGATAACTAAAGAACTGGAAGTCTCCAACAATCCTTTGAGAAAAGGGTGGAGGTGGAAGGTTACGTAAGCCTTTCCCAAGGAAGTGACAAGAATTCTGAATGGGGTCGGCGCCGTGGCTCACTTGGTTAATCCTCTGCCTGCGGCGCCAGCATCCCATATGGGTGCCGGGTTCTAGTCCCGGTTGCTCCTCTTCCAGCCCGGCTCTCTGCTATGGCCTGGGAGGGCAGTGGAGGATGGCCCAAGTGCTTGGGCCCCTGCATCCACACGGGAGACCAGGGAGAAGGGCCTGGCTCCTGGCTTCAGATCAGTGCAGCACCGGCCGTGGCGGCCATCTGGAGAGTGAACCAACAGAAGGAAGACCTTTCTCTGTGTCTCTCTCTCACTGTCTATAACTCTACTTGTCAAATAAAAAAAAAAAGAATTCTGAATGGTGTATAGGAGCTACCTTGTTAAAGAGAGGGCAGAAGAGAGCTCTAGGCAGAGAGGTAAGGACAGGAGGTCTAAAAGATCAGTGGGAGGCATAGAAAGTAAGGGGTATATGGTGTGTGATGCAGCTTATGAATCCAACAGGGAACAAGTCGCATAGGGTACATTTTGTAAACCAGTTTAGACAGGTCTTTGTCTAATGGGAAATGAGAGGCCACCAGCAAGTTTCGAGCTGGAAGCCGATAATCTACTTTGCATTTCAAACAGATCACTGATGGTGTGGAAGAGGAGTGAGTGGATGGAGGGAGACCTATCAGCGGACTCTTGCAGCCTTACAGGTGTGAGATGATGGGAACTTTGAACAGGACGGTGTTGGGGGAGGGACAGAAAAGTGGATATATCTGAGATATAATTAGGATGAAACGTGTGAGGAAGAGAGAGGTGTTCAAGCTGTCTTCTAAACTTCTGGCCTGGACAACTGGATGGAAGACCGTGAGTTTCAATGAGATAAGAAAAAAGGAGAGGGGCTGGCTCTGTGGCATAGTGGGCTAAGCCTCTGCCTGCAGTGTGGGTATGCCATGTGGGTGCTGGTTCTAGTCCCGGCTGCTCCTGTTCCAATCCAGCTCTCTGCTATAGCCTGGGAAAGCAGCAGAAAATGGCCCAAGTCCTTGGGCCCCTGCTCCTGTGTGGGAGACCCAGAAGAAGGTTCTGTCTCCTGGCTTCAGAGCGGCCCAGCTCTGGCCATTGCAGACATTTGAGGAGCGAACTAACAGAAGACCTCTCTCTCTTTCTCTGTCTGTCTCTCTCTCTGTCTATAACTCTAACTCTCAAATAAATAAACTCTTTAAAAAAAAAAAGAGGGGGCAAGAACCAGGTTTGGGGTAGGGAAGCAGGGAGACTATGTAACCTGCAACAGAATATGAGCCTAAGAAGTGTTTGAGGCAGTCAGATGAAGCTGAAGTTACCCAAATAAAGAACAGATTGCAGACGCGTGAACCCCACATAGAAGCCCTTGCGCTGGACCCCATTCCTTGGTCTCATCACTCACGGCTGGTTTTCCCTGACTTCACGGCTGCAGCCGTAACCGCTCCATGAAGACAGACCACTTACTTGTTTGCCTCAGGGTTCATTCATTCAACAGTCGTAGACGTTTGCGTGCCAGACTCCGTCCTTGAGGGCTGCTGATGCAGAGTAAATGGAAACAATGTTTGCTCTGTTGTCATTTAATGTGTGATGGCTTCTTTGAGCAGGTTGCTCAAAATAACTGATTCTTGCTCTTCCAAATCGCATCTGGAGTAAATCACCCTACAGTGAAGAAAATGCTTCCTTGAAAAATGACCTCAAAATTTTAATAGGATAATAGAATTATGATATTTCAGCCTTAAATTGGTGGGATCCGTTGAGTTCAATGATGTCAAATAGATTTCCTCTCATATACCAACTGTAATCGATTGGTGGTGGTTGTCTGGGGAGTTAGGCTGACAATGATTCAGCCGGAAAAAACAATGCAATTGATTGGTGATGTCTGTCAAGGTCTGGCATGGACAGTAGAAGGCAATTACCCATTGTTCTTATCTCAACTCATTTATCATTTTTATGTGTCACTGCATTCTACTTGATAACGCTTTCTTAAAGAATTTTACATTTATGTTAGTGAGACATTGGCCTATTATTTTCATAGAATATCCTCTTCAAAATTTCCTAATGGAATTATACTGTCCTAATGACATGAGTTTAAGACAATTCTTTGTTTTCTGAAAGAGTTTATGTAGTATTGGCATTATTTTGTCCTTACATAATTGATTAAATGGGCCTGACATTGTGAGGGGGAAGATGTAGGAAGAAACTTAGAATTGTGAATTCAGTCTCATAAACAGACACAGGGCTATTTAGATTTTCTATTTCTTCTGTTAATTTTTAAGTTGTGTTTGTTTTTTAAAAATTGTGCATTTAATCTAAGTTGTCAAATTTGACCACCCCCTTAAAATGTAAAGAAATAAAGCTTAGACATGACATAGTAACTCATAGATCAAGTCCAAGAACTCAGATTTCAAGGGGTTCAGCCCCTTGCTCCTATCTGCCACAGGCAGCTTTGACCGATTTTCAAAAGCCTCAAGAAAACCCTCTAACAATCTTTATGGAAAGCACATACACATGCATTTCTTTTAGTTTTTTGTTGTTGTTGTTGTTGTTGTTTTTGTTTTTTGAAAAGCAGAGGCAGAGAGTCAGAGAGAACTTCATCTGTTGGCTCACTCCCCTAACGCCTACAGCAGCCAGGGCTGAACCAGGCCATAGCTAGGATTCAGGAACTCAATCTGAGTCTCCCACATGGTCGTAGGGATCCAATCACTTGAGCCTTCACCTTCTGTCACCCAGGGTGCACATTGGCAGGAAGCTGGAATGGAGAGCAGAGCCAGGACTTGAATTCAGGCACTCCAATATGGGCTCTGGGCATCCCAAGCAGTGGCTTAACTCCTGCATCAAACACCTGCCTCACACATGCATTTTTTTTTTAAGATTTATTTTATTTATTTGAAAGAGTTAGAGAAAGACAGAGAGAGAGAAAGAGACATAGAGACAGAGACACAGAGAAAGAGAGAGAGACGGATATCTTTCATCCACTGGTTTATTCCCCAAATGGCCACAGTGCCTGGAGCTGAACTCATCTGAAGCCAAGAGCCAGGAACCTCTTCTGGATCTCCTACATAGGTGCAGGGATCCAAAAACTTGGGCTTGGAGCCGGCGCTGTGGCACAGTGGGTTAACACCCTGGCCTGAAATGCCGACATCCCTTATGGGCGCCAGTTCGAGTCCCAGCTGTTCTATGTCCAATCCAGCTCTCTGCTATGCCCTGGGAAAGCAGTAGAAGATGGTCCAAGCCCTTGGGAGACCCAGAAGAAGCTCCTAGCTCCTGGCTTTGGATCAGCGCAGTTCTGACCGTTGTGGCCATCTGGGGAGTGAATAATCAAATGGAAGACCTCTCTCTCTCTGCCTCTCCTCTCTCTGTGTAACTCTGACTTTCAAATAAATAAATAAATCTAAAAAAAAACTTGGGTCACCCTCCGCTGCTTTCCCAGGCACATTAGGAGGGAGCTGGATCAGAAGTGGAGCAGGATGGATTCAAACTGTTATCTAAATGGGATGTTGGATCGGCCGGCCAGGGCTTTAACCCACTGTGCCACAGCGCTGGCCCCCACAATATGCATTTTTAAATGCTTGCATGCTACAGCATTCATCCTGATCTGCTGAAGAAAAAAAAAAAAAAAAAAACTGCCCAGGGCAGGATCACCCAATTGGAGGCTTACATTTTGGCAATCTTACCTGCCAAAGCCTGAGGTTTTTCAAGAAAACTCATGGATAGCAAGAAAGAGAAGCGTACTCTGAATTTCCCTGAAGTCCCTCGAGGCTGCCTTTCTCCTTGATGTCCGGCCTAATTCAGCACAGGAAGCCAGACTGTCCATGCACATTACGCCCTCTGAGTCTGGGTTTGCCCATGGGAAGATCATTCCCCAGGGATCGCTCTGCCTGGCCTGACCCACTTAGATGTGGCCTGCCTGATGAGGGTGGGAGTGGAGTTAATGAGGGTGGACAGAAGGCAGGCCCAAGGGAGATGAGCTCACAGGACTTGGCTCCCAACACTCCTAGGAGAAAGTCTTTTCAGAGGAGGAGTATTTGCTAAACTGACCTCATCAGCTCTCTGCTTCAAACTGTTCATGATGGGGCCGGTGCTGTGGTGTAGCAGGTAAAGCTGTGACCTGCGATCCCAGCATCCCATACAGGCGCTGGTTCAAGTCCCAGCTGCTCCACTTGCAATCCAGCATTCCTGCTAATGCACCTGGGAAAGCAGTAGAAGATTGGCACAAGTGCTTGGACCCCTGCTACCCAAGTGGGAGACCTGGAACAAGCTCCAGGCTCCTGGCTTTTGTCTGGCCCAGCTCTGGTCAGTGCAGTCATTTGGAGAGCGAACCAGCACATGGAAGACGATCTCTTCCCCTCCCCCTCCCCCTCCCCCTCTCCTTCTCTCTCTCCCTCCCTCTCTGTAAACTCTGCCTTTCAAATAAACAAACAAATCTTAAAAAAAAAAAAAAAAATCCTGTTCAGTGATCCCCTAGTGTACTCACAAAATCATCCACCCCAAGGTCTGAGCATCCCCCTTTTCCCCCCGCCATGGTCTTCTTTGAGCAAGACAAATATTTCAGTTCCAAACTGGAAAAACGCTCTTCCCTCCTTGGAAGCCTCTGCACACAGGCTGCTCCCTTCACCTAAAAGACGTTCTCTAATATTCACTCAACTTCTCCTTTATCTTCCGGTTGCCTCTTAACTATCACTCCTGTCACATTTCCCAACCCCCAGCTCACCTCCTCCCAGCCCTCATTCAACTCCATGCCAGCCTCTGGACTGTCCCTGGAAGAAGCTAAGCACAGCCTTGCATCACAGCCTTTGCACCTCTTACTTCCCTGCTTGGAATGCTCTTCTCGGGAAGCCACAGCATCCTTCCCCCACGTCTTTGAGGTCTCTAATCTCACTTTGCAAATGAGAACGCCCCGGGCTACCCCATGAAGAAGGACAATGCTTCATTCCCCTCCTACTCTTTTTTTGTTTTATCTTTCTCCATCACACACAGCATCACCTGGCCTATACATTCCGTATCTATCTCTTTATTATTTTTTTTTTTTTTTTGACAGGCAGAGTGGACAGTGAGAGAGAGAGAGAAAGGTCTTCCTTCCATTGGTTCAGCCCCCAAGTGGCCGCTATGGCCAGTGCTGTGCCCATCCGAAGCCAGGAGCCAGGTGCTTCCTCCTGGTCTCCCATGCGGGTGCAGGGCCCAAGAACCTGGGCCATCTTCCACTGCCCTCCCGGGCCACAGCAGAGAGCTGGACTGGAAGAGGGGCAACCAGGACAGAATCCGGCGCCCCAACTGGGACTAGAACCCGGTGTGCCAGCGCCGCAGGCGGAGGATTAGCCTAGTGAGCCACGGCGCCGGGCCCCATCCCTTTATTATGATTTGCATCCCTGGCTAGAAGGTAAGTACCCTGAGGGCAGGCACATTTGCTTTTCACACTGCTCTCACCCCAAACAGTCAAAGTGTCTGACCACACTGTTGACAAAAAGGCCAGTACTCCTGGGAATGTGAGGGACTGACTGCGTGCAGATAATCTCTATGCCACAAACGTGTTATTAGAAGAAAAAAAATTAAGCCATATGGACCCAGACTCCAAATAAATAAGAGAACACTCCAAGGGGTCAGAAGTAAGAGAAAAAAACAGGATGGAGATGAACTGGAGACAACAGGGAAAGCCAGGAGACTTTCAGAGGCGGAACACTGGCTCCGGGGGACCAAGGGCTGGCGTTCTAATGTCACCAGGACAAGGGGAGGCATAGCCTTGGCTGCCCTGCAAGGGGCGCTGCCTGTGAGACTTGCACAAGGCGGGAGCTCTCCAAGTGAGCAGCACACTTTCCCAGGAGCCTGAGAGAGCCGTGACTAAGTGCATTCTATGCACCTCTTAGCCTGCGTTCCCCAAAGTAGCTCCTGAAATAGGGATTTGGGTTCAAGTAGTTTACTTGGTAGGTGATCCCAGAAAGCATAATGAGAGAGTGGGGGAAGCAGGAAGGGTCAGTAAAGGGTGTAGCATAAGCACGTTATTGTGTGCTCAACTGAGACTTAGTCCTGCTGGGGACCTCTGAGAGACTGTGTAGACACAATTGAGAACCACCCTCAGAGGGGCCAGTGTTGCTGTGCAGTGGGTTAAGTTGCCACTTGCAACACCACGTACCAGGCTGGAGTGCCAGTTCAGGTCCTGCCGCTCTGCTGCTGATCCAGCTCCCTGTTAATATCCTAGGAAGGCAGCAACAAATGGCCCAAGTCCTTGTGCCCCTGCCTCTCACGTGGGAGACCAGGATAGAGTACATGACTCCTGGCTCTGGCCTGAGTAGCCATGTCAGGAGTGAACCAGCAGGTAAAAGATCCGTCTCTCCCTCTCCCCATTGTGATGTCTAGGTAGATGGATGGAAGGATCTTAAAATCAATGAATAAATAAAAAGAATTCCCCTGTAGCACACAGGGGGTGGGATATCCATCCCCAGGTGCAGAGCTGCTCTGAAGAGCTTGCTGCCCTCAGGCTTCCAGACCGCACCCGGGCTCAGCCAGACAAGTTCTCAAGAAGCCCGAGAAAGCTCCCAGGGAGAGGAAGAGAGACAGACACTTGAGGTGCGAAGCTGCCAGTCACATGGCAGGAAACGTCCGCAGCTGGAGAAGAACTCCAGTGGTCCAGAAAGATGGGGCAGCCACTGCAGTGGGGGGGGGGG